AGCAGCAGCAGCAGCAGCAGAACATCCTCCTCATCCGTGTCGGCTCATGCCTTTGTCATTACTAATAAAGCTTTACCTTGTGCAGGTGCCATTGTGCAGACTGCCTGAGCTTCCAGCAAGCTTTGAGCAGTTGACCTCTTGAGCCTCCTGTTGTGTTATGACATGGGTGGAGGGGGCCTGGGGGAGGGTCTCTTCATGCATAAAGAAGGATGACCTTGCAGAAAAGACCGCTCCGATTGGGCCCCGGCTGCCCACTTCGTGATTGTGTATAGATGCAAGCAAGAGGGGCCAAGAAGCCTGAATTGACATGGCCCACTATGAATTAGGAGCCCTCTTTGTACGTTCTTTGTACGTCAGCATCCAGCATCCAGGGTTGGGGGTACAGAAAACAGGACTTCATCTCGTCAGCGACCAGACGGTAATCCATCAAAATACCTGCTCTGAAAATAGATGCTGCGGAGCGGAACTTTGCCAAAAAAAAACGCAAGCAGAATGCGCACGGAGATCTTTTCATGGAGTGTGAGCAGCGCTGAGCAAGATGATCGAGTAAGGCGAGAACCGTACGGAGGGTACATGGGGATCGCGTTGGGGTTTCCACGGGGATCATCCCCTTGCTTTTGCAAGGTTGCCGTTTACGATCATGTTTTCCCTTTCCACGAGTCAGTTGAGCAACGAGATAAGCTTTCTCGTGGGAAATTCCAGACAGGCCCTGATTGAAAGGCTTATTCGTCGAGAGTACGTACCGTTTTTCGGTAAGGGCTTGGGGCACCTGGGAAAGAGTTCCTGTTCCGTAGGATCCCATGAATGGGGTGCACATGTTAGGGCCATATATACAAATCCTATCCCGTTTGCTATGTTCTGGCAAATTTAGGCTTTCCTACCCCTCTTGATAGAATACAGGGCTGCTGGCAACTGCTGAGGCCTGCTGGAGTGCATTTGGGGTTCAGGGTTTTANNTTTAGGGTTTAGGGCTTAGAACTGAGAATCACCCTCATCCCTCACCGTTGAGAGCCGACGTGTTTCCGGTTATGGTATGAAATATTTGCATATATCCCGAGATTCGGAACCCATGTACCCCCAAACAACACTGTGGTTGGGGTACATGAGGGGATGGTCAGCTTGAGAAACCACATACAGCAGGCTGCCGAGCAGTGTAGCCCTTGTACAGAATGGTCTGCTTGTCGAACACAGGGCTGCCGAATGGCAGCTGCACGGAGTTTCAACAATTGGGATGTCTCAAAACTGTACACCCCTACAATGAGGACCCTGCTGTTTTCGGTACATTTTGGGGACGCCTATTTTGGGACAGCCAAAGCACAGTCACAGAAAGTGGTGAAGGTAGCTTTGTCATGCTCTCCTCGTTCTAGGGTGGCGGAAAGAGCTTACGCGGCACCTCCGCTTCGAATCAGCAAGAAAAGGGTGGATGCGTTCGCAGGTCGTTTCACATAGTAATAAGCATATATCGCTTCAGTTTTGTAGTGCTCCGTCAGATTTTCCATGTGATTCTCCGCTGTTGGGGTCGCATTCCTAAACCCACAATCCTACACGTGACCCCACATGTGTCATCCATTGTCGAAGTCCCCAAAAACGGCATACGATGTTCAGAACCTCTATTTGTCTTCTACAGTTCCCTGGGACCCGACATGTTTCTTTCGTGAGGGAGCCGCAGAGAATTACCGTTCAACTCTCAACCTGCATCATGGCAGTGTGCAACACACAGCACCTCTGTTTGCCCGAAGAACTGAACAACAATCCTTACAGACCTGTTCCCCCTGGCAGTAGCGCTAGAAAATCACCGGTATATCAACCCGCAACTCCGAACCTCAAACATTGATCCTTAAAGCTTAGTGCATGATCACTCTGATCTCTACGCCCATGCTTGCAGGCCCTTCCCCCCTCTCCAGCACGAGTGGGCGCCGACGTGCCCGGGGCGGCAGCGGAGCTTGGGGGCCGGGTCTTCTGCCGCCCGGCGAAGAAGCTTTGAGGTACTCTAGAATCCTGGCAAAATTGACAATGTTCGCTTCTTGAAGGATTTGGCAAGTCAGGGTTTCTCCGGCTGTATGATGTGGCTTGTATGGCTCGAAACCTTCAAGCTCCCGCCGGCCTCCAACCTGGATGAGGTTGATGGATACAGAAGTGACGTTGATTTCAAAAGGGGCCGTTCTTCTCGAATCTCTGACCTGCAAGCCCCCAACCTTACACAGCTATGTACATCTCTAAACCCCAAACCCCCAAACCCCAAAAAATTATAAATCCCCAAACGCCTAAAACCCCAAACTCCTAAGCAACCCTCTCCCCCCCGCTTTCCCTGAGTAGCCTTGGGCTTCTGAGGCAGAGAGCTTGGCCAGCTTATCCTAGCTCTCCGGACAGCTGGCTTGCGGGATCTGGCTCAGGGGTGCACGGCCCGGGTGGTGGGTCGGAAGTTAGAGCTGTCTAGGTTGAAACGGAAGATAGGGTTCTATAGGGATTATATTATCTCCATCATGGAGAATCAAATGGAAAAGAAGATGGAAAGTGCATTATGTAGAGGGTGATAGGGACACTACCAATATTATGGTCCTAGGTTCCTTGCCCAATTCTGGTATAGGGTACCTCAAGCACGACTTCAAAACGCACTGAGAATAGAGGGTTCTGCCTGGTTTACGCAGGGAGACATAGGGTGTATGACGGCTCGTGGAGGGTTTTTGTAGGGTTTAGATACCTGGGATTTTGGTGGGATTGAGGGTCTGGGGTCTGAGAGATTTGGGGAGAGGTTTAGGGCTTCCTGCGGTTTAGCATTGAAAGGCTTGTGGGATAGCGTTTGAGCGTTTATGGCTTGGAGTTCAGGGAATGGGGGCGGGGCAATTGCTACCAGTCATCCATGTAGCTTTTGCCAGAGGTCAGGGCTGCCAGCGCAATCTCGAGGTTTTTTGAGAGCTTGTGTAGGACAACACAGAAGTAGTAACCCAGATGATTTGAGAGGTTAGCAGCCTTAATTGTGTTGTGATTGTTGGATTTTTGTGGGGTTCGGAGCTCGCAGTGCCAAGATGCGGACAGGAGAAAAAGGCCTCCAAACAGAACCACGAAAGACAAACCCTAAACCCCCGACACCCCAAGCAGATCCCAAACCCAAGCCACAGGAAGCCTTAAACAACCATAGCCTCAGCGCAACCCAGGCTTGGCCAACTCAGTGGTCTGGAGGTGGCTGCTCTAAGCTGGCGATTTCAAGTGCCCAAGTTGCGGTAGAGGATCATATTTGCTCAAAACGTTGCCAATATCGACAGCTTGCCGTATTAATGTCGACCCACTTGGGAGGTTCATGGAGTTTGAAAGGGCTATTCAGTGTATTTTCTTGTCCCATTTTCGTTGCCTACTAGCAGCCTGCAAGTCATGGCAGGATCCTCCTGCACCGCCTTTGCCACCACCGTTGGTGGCAAAGTTGAGCCTGAATGTGGATCAGGCCTCTTGCTGCAAAGCTGGGAGGTTGAATTGAGGGGCTGCGGTTGAGATTTGTGGCTGTTTGGTTACACATAAGCCCGAATTCAGCCCCTCCAGCCCGAGTCTGTGATGTCAACGAGCCTAATGTTGCTTGCGGATCGAAGATTCATGGACAAGTCTGCAGGGCAATCGTTTAGGTGCAATCTCATCCCGTCATATGCCCAAAGAGCGCTGAAGGCTTGGGGATAATATCCTCGAGCTTGTCTTTTGACTCTTCTCCCTCACTGATCCAGAATGCATCGACATCCCGTAAATCTCGAACAATCCTTAACCCAAAGCCTACATCCCAATCCGCAAGCTGTAAAACCTTAGCCCTGAAATCCCAAACCCTTAACCCCAGATGTGATGACCAGGTCATTGCGCAAGAAACCGCGCGGTCAGTCCCAGACAGCACGCCCATCGTGAAGGCGAGCGTACCTGAGATGTTCTGCGCGTGATTGGCCTTTGGCTTCCAGAGGAATCTAAGAGCAAAATACAGTATCAAGATTTTTGAACTTCACAAATCTTACTTGGGAGTGTGCGTAATTAATGAGGTCTTTTTGACGTCAGGAATCTAAAGGGCGGGGGTTAGCAAGCCCACTTCAGCGTTCAGCGTGGGGTTTCGGACTGCAAAGTTATGGTTCAGGGTTGGGTAATCATCGCGAAAGGAGAAGCTGTGGTTGCGGCCCAAGCGAATGTCTAAAGGTTCGGGCAATGAAACTTCCTAAGTGGCAGTTCCTTTGAAAGTAGCGGGAACACAACTGCCAAGGCGCTCCGACTGTTATCGT